CGGACCCAGCGAACTTTCCCCCAACGAGAAAGTTGCACCGTCGACTAATTCATTATAAATCCCACGGGGCAGAACCAGATTAAGAATCATCCGGAAGCAATTTTCAAGGGAGGGGTATAATCGAACTATCGATAATTTCTAATTCTCACGATGACGGGGCGGAGTTGGATGCACAAGTCAGGTACTTATGAATCTTTATACATTGCCCCTTCCTTCAATGAATGTAACGAGTCTAGCGCAATGTACGACCTGGAGAGCGGCTTCTCTCCACCGCAAAACTATTTCACGAATCGCCACTCAATTCAGCAATTCGTGCGATTAAGTAATGTATAAATACCCTCCCCCACTTGAGTGGCTGTCTGGCCTTCCGGGTGAGTCGTAATCCTAGACAACAATAAATTCGATTGAGCGAGGGGTGCACTATTCTAACTGTTAAAGGTCGGATTAAACGTCGGTGTAATCTGGGTTTTGCTACCTTCGTCTCTGAGCCGCTTCCTCGACCTGATCTCGCTTTCGTTGGGTGTGCACGACTTTCACGTTTTCAAGTCTCAAATACGGAAGGTGGAGGGAAATGTCTAGTTTGAACTGTTATCACATGTGTGAGAACATGGAAGATGCATGTCTCTCTGAATGCCTCAAAAATTAATTTGATTTTTAATAAAAATACTTTATGATAGATCGAATTCAATGAGACTGTGTCGATAATAAGTATCTGATGTTGATGGAGTGAAATTTGATGGGCGGGGGCTCAATAGTCTCTCATCAGGTAAAAATTAACATGAAAAATGCATTCATAGAATCAAGTTGCATGGTCAAGGCGCAGAATTCTTCATACTCCCACGTAATGTCGAGGGAAACCAGTGAGAAGAGCTATCGATATATTGGTTATGCCCGAGGCAATGTACAAGGCGTGGAGCAAAACCTCTACCGCATTTTCTCCGTTCCGTACCATTTTTTTTTTATTCTGCAAATCAATTGGAAGGATTAATGCCCATACAGTCGTATTTCCGTGAATTCCGGGGTATGTACTGTGGAGTCAATCCTTAATACATAGAGCTGATACTGAATCTTAGATTTCTAAAGGCGATGATCGCAGAATCGATCGATATATCGATGAGTGCAGCGGGCATTAGCTGCATCTGCCTACCGCGGTCTCGCTATAGGCGGATTCTGCAGCTGCGGATGCACAGCAATTTTTTTTTTTCATCATTCTATAATAATGTGTGAGATTCTTTGGATTTAATGGATAATTCAAATTTCTCCACTAATTTATTTATTTAGGTTGTATTGTGTTATGAATTTATTTTCAAATTGGTGTTGGAAAAATATTGAGGTTTTTTTTTTTGAGTAGGTAATCAGTAATGATTTTTTTTTTACTGTTTGGAGGAATGAGAAATTGAAGTTTAGCAGGAAGGACTAACAAGCAGCTGTCGGTTTCACCGAGGCTCATACGACAATACCCAATGGCTTCTGGATAGTTTAGCGTTACAATGATGATTGGAGAAACGCGCGTAACGATTTCTTATGGGAAATGAAACATGCAATTACCATGCCGTGATTTCCATTCGATGAATGCAAGAAAGACGGCCGTTGAGTGGGCATTTCTATGGCTCACGCTCGCTTGAAGTAAGGAGTTGTCTTATACTCGGGTTTCAGCCCTTTTTGCCACGTTTACGTTGTCAACTACTTTTTTCACTCCTCGCTTCTCATCGCTTGGGCATTTATAGAGTTTGAATTAATGGGGGTTATTTACATGTTTTAATTATTTGCCGAGTTTTGTCGGCCTGTTTATGTGGTAATCCTCGGAAATTTTGTTCACTGCGAAAAAGATTTCTTATTCATGGAAAAAATAATCCTTAATTGCAGGGATTCTCGGTGCTAACTAGATTCTTCATTCAGAGAGAAAACATAAATTACAGGGAATATTAACTCAAATATAGAATATTCTCTGGAAATGTTATTTCTCGAATTTGTTTGAAATAAAAAAAAATAGCAAACAGTGGAAGTAATTATTGGTTATTCAGCCAGAGGCCGACATCTTCATACGACAATTCGACGAATAATATTCCTTGATGATGCATTGGACCTGTGCAATTATTTAATGACAGTAATACGAGTGAACCAATCTCTGGAGCACTTGTATCCGCGAGTTACTTAAGCACCCGTGATACCGTTATGGGGTAAAACGTATTACGGAGATGTACGCCCTTGGCGTTTGCCATTGGACTATCGAGGGATCTCGTTGGGCGGATGTCCTCATGCATTCTCTCGATATCATATTCTTCAAAATCTCTTGACCGAAAAAAATAGGGGATGCTGATTTTGAGGGTGACGATGGTTCCATTGGAAACTGAAAAAAAGTAAGCGATCATCTATAATAAATAATGGATATGCTCGCATTGACTGGAGCCACGACACGACCATAAAGATTTCCAGCGACCACCCACCAACCGCACTTCTGAGAATGATTCGACGCGTTTGAAGGAACGCGTTATCGTTGCATACATTATTGTCTCCGCATTGTGTGAGACAATCGCACATACGTTTCCTCAACGTTATGGTAGATAATAAATTTTATTTCCACAAACGCAAGAGGGTTGTAAAATCAGTGGACAAAGTCTCATGGAATTGAGAATTTTATATAACATTATATAAAATATAAATGACATGCGATGGAAGGAAGATTGACCGAGGGCTTTCATTATCGTCTATATAATGTCGATGAGAGGATCTTGGGATCAGGTTGTTCACCTATCCACTGAGAACACGGAACATTGAAACTATCGAGGAGATGTTGGCTACTGCGATGAATTCCCCCGGCAAAATGGACACGTGATTCCAGAAGAAGCCCAAAGCGGATGTTAAGTAGCACCGGTGCCGTTTTAATCAGCTAATTCCTCAGGCGTGGTCCATCAATCTGCTCTTGGTTGAGTAACTCGAGAAAAGTCATCGGTCCAGGACAATATTTGTCACATTATTTATTATTATTTTCAATTGACTTGCCGACGAGTTGTAAGTGGAGAGAGGAGAGAGTGGTCCGCGGATTTTTCCATGAAAATTAAAGCTCTGATTATGAGAGCCGAGTGCGAGTGGTAACAGTTAGCAGTAAATAAATTTACCATGAAATATTTCTTCCCCACGACATCCCCGGATTCGTTTCCACCAAGTTAACATCTCGACTAATGCAGTTTCTATGGATCGCACACACCCACGCCCCGAAGCCACACGTGTATAATCCCATTCTACACAGATAGATATCGATACAGAGAAGGGCCCAAGTACCCACATCTCGGTACAACTCGGCAAGCGGCTTGTAAATTATAATTGCCCGGACATATACACGCAGCATAAAACATGAGAAATGATTACCCAAACGGCGGTCCCGATGAGTAAATGAAATAGCAATTGAGCTCAACGAATTTGTCCGGGTGTACAGATGTAAAAATATTTATTCCCTTTAGAGTACAAATTCTGTATCTCTAGTTGGCAAATTCTTATCCAACATCGACTATTTTTATTTAATTTCATTTCACGAGCAAACTGTTTTTTTTTTCTGTACATGAGATATCGATTGAGCGTATGATCCGTGCATTTGTGCGTGGGCGGATACCAGTAGCTGAGCTTTAGCTGAGGCTGATCGGCCTGTTGGAGCGTAACGTGTAACCACTACCACTTCATTACAACTTCTGCATAGTACCCAACCCTAGGTACACCATAACGTGCTATTTCTATCGCTTCACGGTATTCGTTATGTTTATGACAGTTAGTTCGCTAATTTCATTGTAATTACTGTTGCCTCAGACGAAAATAGATTTGAAAAATGGAGGCATTGAGGAAGTGATACGATGAATATTAAAGTGCTCTCGCGATGACTCCTACAGCGACAGCGACACCGACACCATTGTCCCACAGTAAAAATCCAAAAGACAGAATAAACAAGAGAAAAATAATAAAAATTTTCGCGTGTTGGCGGATAGACACATCCCTCTGAATCCAATTTTTTCCCTCTCTACCCCTCGATACTTTTGCCAGCTTTCACGTGCCCTCGTGATTAAATGGGTGAAAAGAATCGTCAAGCAGTGAGTCAGTAGAGTCATCCGTAGGCGGACAATAGGCGATAAGTGCCTACAGAATGACTCGTGAAATCCAAGAGTCTCTTCTCCCTCGCTCGAACGAGGGACAAACGCTTTGCAGGAGCCCCGTAATACTGAAAATATGCGAGATAGAGCGAGGAAGGAAAGCGATTAATTACGTGGGGAATTGTTGCGACATGTACCATTGGCTAAGGTAGATTACCCCACAACTATCACTTAACTGTTGGCAGTTGGGGGCTCAGCATGACTGACAGTTATCAACACTCATACTGAGAGCACCCTCATAAAAAAAAATATATATATTTTTCCCTGGTAGGAAAACCCCAGCCAGTGTCATCTCTCCTCTCTCAAGTTTCCTGGACAAATCCTTAAGTCAATGATAGTTTTCATCTCTAGATCATTCGATTCGAATTGATCGTGGTATGTTGATTTCAGTTCGATTATCTCGTAAAAATCGATAGTGTGTAATGAGGAAAATTCCGGGGAATGTATTCATTGATTTGTAATTAAAGTTAAATCTCGATAATTCTCGCGTAAAAGGATGCTCTGCTGCTGTTGGAAAGAGAATGAAAAAAAAAAAAGGGAAAAATGAATCTCGGAATAAGTTAAGACGCTGGGAGATTGGCAGTGGCACCACTCGGCGATAAAATGACGAGATATGCACGAAATAGACACATAGCGGAGGAACAAATCAGAGTAACCGGTTGCAATGAGGAAGTAACTACTATAAAGTCTTTATAACACCCTGTAAACCGAATAAGCACATAACTTTATTTTAATCATCTGGGGTATATGTCGAAGGTGACAATGGAAAAATGAGCGATAAGAATCGCAATTAAAGGATAGATAGGGGCGACAACGTTGTAAGTGGATAATAAATTGTTGCTAGATGAAAAATGAACTCACGAGTTAGAGGTAGAGCGTGCCAACGCGTCGTGGAGCAATAACTGTCACTGCCAATCTTGGTCCACACTTGGTTGGTGCTAGTGGTGATGCTGTCACTGGTGGTGGAGTTTCGGGTCTTGCTCCATTGGCACCCCGCAGATCCCAAACGAGATTGGTCAGGGATCGAGGTCTACTCAGTCGTCGCGATCTGTGAATAGCCAATTTTTTTTTTTTTTTTTTCATCAAGTGGATTATAGGCTACATGGAAGTATTTTCACGTGAAATTTCAAATGAAATCATTGAGGAGTACCTTTTCTCCGGCAGTTTAGCGCCTGCCCCGGAATCACCGGAGGTTCTTCCACCAGAATGACTTGAATCGAGTGTACCATCGAGTTCCATGGCCTGTTGAAGATTGGTGAGACTCTTGTAGCGTATATTGAAGAGAGGTGATCCTCCTTTGAAGCCCGGCGGTGTTTCCTTGAGTGGTGATGCACTCTTTTGCCGTATGAGTGGACGGCCTCGCTGTGTTCCACTGTTCTTAACATAGAGTTTAGCCAGTGGTGGTTTCTCGACTTTAGGCATTGGTGTTTCCTTGACAGCCCGTCGAGTTCTCTTCTCCGCCTGCAATTTCTTGGTTGGTATGGTCTCGATGGGCGGTGGTTCTGGCCGATCATCAAGCATCGGTGCAATCGTAACAGTGACAGGAGTGAGTGGTGGACTTGTATTCTGGTTAGTATTATTGTTTGGACTCTCGTATGGTGATCTGACACTCTTGGGCAGTGGTGCAAAGCCCCGAACATAATCATAAATCTGATCAATCTCATCGTAATCCTCAGTGTATGAAGGTGGCACTCGATTCTCATCCCGATAACTGTGGCTACTGTGATGATTGTGATGATAATGATTATGATAATAATGACGATGATGATTTGCACTGTCTGAACTAGCGGATCTCCTGAGAAAGCCGGCGCTCCTTGTTTGTCTATTTTGCTTGCTCTCACCGAGTCTACCGTCGAGTACGTGCGCCCTATCGGCAACGTCAGCGACCAGTCTTGAGGCTCTATCAACCAATCTCGTAAATTCCGTCATCGACCTCAATGCATCCTCGTTTCTCGCTTTGACAAGCTTGAGTGGTGCTGCAAGGGGCAATGCTATCGCAGCCCCTTCCCTCTGCAGTGGTAGAGCGAACACGTGCTCCTCCTCAAACGTCGAGAGTAGCCTCAACTCGGGTAGAAATTGTGAGGATGACTTGAGACCTCGAGGTGGCTGACCATGGACTAACCGTACTGTCAGTGGCAGCCGTTTACAGAGCAATGCACGAGCCGTATGCACACCGCTTATGTTGTCCTCTCTAGCTAGGGCACTGAATCGACCACGTTGATCCATACTCAGGAGAATATTGTCACCACGACTGTCAACACAACGTAAAAATCTACCGCGACTTGCAAGACTCACCTCACCAGCTGCCACTATAGTCTCACCAGCTGTTAGTGTTCTACTCCCTTCGGCCACAACATTACCAGAATCCTCAACCTTGCAGGCTATACCCCGAATTGTTTCTCTCACTAGTGCACCTTCCTCTGGACATCTTCGTGACAGCTCGTTGACTGATTCTATTCCACGAACAGCTCTACCCTCTTCACTCAGAATTTCAAAGTATCCTGAGTAAGAGTCTGGTATTGCGAGTCTCGGTCCGATTCCAACGACTCGTCTACCTTCCTTTATTTTCACCGCTTGGGCGACAATCTTCCGTCTTCTTCCAGCTGATACCAGGAGAGCTGTACTCTGGAGACTCGGTGCTGGTAGTGTTGGCACACCAAAGCCACCATACTGGCCTTTTGTTATTTTTATAACCGCTGGTAAACGATATTTTGTGACAAATTCACGGAGATATGTCGATTCGTCCGCCCATCGCGCCGCAGCAACTACTATTTGACCATCGGTTGCTGCCATCCCAACATGCGTGATCACCTCAGTTTTTCATCAAAAAAATCTCCGCACTCTTCTCGTCTTGCTGCTCTGAGCGTCGCGGATAGCGAGTCCCCATCTGCAAAAACAATTACACATTTTCATTGGTTTAGTTACATTTCATTGATGATTTCAACAGAGTTATCAATACAGCAGCATGAGCGAATACTGGTGGAGTTCGGGGTAGCAATTAGGGACCGGTTTCGATGATTTTTATTAAAATAAAGCCCGGCCTAACTAGTCCCCTCACGTAGTGTTGTGCCCCGCTCTCTATAAAGACCATTCAACCACGACTCTCATGTTGGCTTGCGGCAGTGCGTGTTAAAGTTTGTTCAAGTTGGAACTCTGCGAAATTTAATTGCCTTGAGGGTCAATACCGTCCATGTTCACCAACTAGTTTTCCATTGGATTCCCTTTTCGCACCGAGGTGCTCACTCTCATACGAACACGTGAACCTGATTTTCCAGGAGAGACTCGCTGTCGCCAAGCAAAAACTTTCGGTGACTTATAAGGGACTTGAAAAATGTGTGGGTGGTTGGAGTTAGAATTAAGTTAGGAGGAAGACTAAAGTTGAAAGGTAGCTCTAGTAGCTTCTCAAGATGGCCGGGGGACACTTGCAGATAAGAAGTATGTGACCACTGACCCTTGGGCGTCGTGACAGGCGCACCTCTAGGAAGTCATTCGACACTCTAATGGTTTTTTTGGATTCCCTCGGTATTAGTCCCTTTTTTTTTCTCCTGGCCCTTGACTTGGATGAAGTCTTGTGAAAGTCTTGACTCGATTGTAGTGACATTTGAGAGTGCCTGATGTATTTGCAAAATAAATTTGTTCCCTCTTGCATACAGAATGGAATATTATGAGAATCATGATATCAACGGTCCCTGGAAAAGCACAGGCGAGAAAACAGATTCCCCTGAGGATTACGTTAGCAGTTTGTTGAGTGAAAGCCATTCTGACTGGCTGGCATAATTCGAGTGTACCAATAAATCACAAAGTATATAAAGAGAAAAAGAGATAAAGAAGAATTTCTTACGCCACCCTGGTGAGAGATCCGTCGTGAACGTGTAGGCAGACAACTCCACGATATCGTCGTCGATCATGAGATTTACGAGTGGCGATAAGACATACCACTCACAACGAACAGTGGCAGACTATTTCCAAGACTGCAATTCACTAAGCGATTTCCTCAAACCGACACCGAGAGTTTAATCAAACACACATTGATAAACGTCATTTCGGATGATTCACTGTTATTCGGTGATTCCTCTTGTGTATTCTTATCACGTCGGAGTAGGAAGCAAAATGTCGACGTGACGGATGTGTTCTCCCATCAAATGAACACCACACGCCGGTACGCACACAAATTATTATTAAATTGAATTATAATGACTGTGTTTACCAAGGCATATAATACCTCGGTGTACTGGATGGATTGCACCTCATGCTCGTCATATTCAATGAAAAATCCATTCATAAAGGGTTCTTTAGACTGGCTGAAGGAGAAATGAAGATTGATTTCATACAGAATGCTGGCAATGGAGGGGCAATTTAAAAAATCGACAAACAAGACGCAGTCGTGTACAACAACTTGCTGGAGATCGAGAAAGGAAGTACTTGGTGCAGAATTGAATTGTCAAAATGGCGGAAGCATAGCGTGCTATGCTGAGCAGTGGTGCAACGGTTATGCAGTCCTCGTACGAACGGAAAGTCATTCAAGGCCGAGCCAAGAAGGTACTCCACTCTTTTACTTTTATCATTACTTTCTTGTTCTTGCATGAATTTTTCCATTCCGTGAACTTGAGGAATTGAATGGGCTCCCTTTCGTGGGAATAAATACACCGGTGGAGCATTTTTATTCTTCTCCATATGTTATTTACGTCGCTAGCCAAGAATATGTAGACAATTGTCCATATTTTTCTCCTTCCTTTTTTCTGGGGACAACATTATCTTATCCTAATTTTTCATTGACAAATGGTTTAATTAATTGAAAATTCCAGACAATGCTTTCATGAGTTGAACTTGGAATATTTAATGCCTGACTTTAAAAAGTTGATACTCGATGCAGAATGAGATAATGTTGAGAAAATGGAATTTTTCTCTCATTGTAGTTGGTATGAAAGATTGAAACTATTGCGTGACTCGGGGAAGTAGTTCTCATGTGGTGGGTAAGATAATGATTAAGAACATATAGAAATGATTATTTGAAATGGGATGTACTCTGTGTTTATCTTCTTATTGCAAACCACCAGTGAAAGTTTCAATGCAAAATACAGATAGAGACAAATTACACTAAATTAATTCCCCAGATTGGATTTTAATCTACCATTGGATCTAATTTGATTGCCATTATCAATTGAACATTGCATGAATCTCCGCGTAGGAGCTTGCACAACGTACCGAGTGATGATAATAAAAGTAAATAATATCTGATGATTAAGAAAGAGAGAGGATACTCGTCTATTAATTGCACGTCGAATCGGTGACTCGTTAACACGGGTAAAAATTTGAAGGTATATGGTGAATGCTCGAGTTTGCTCATTAATTAGAAACTACGCGGCAATCACAGCAGGACGTCCGCGTAATATGCGTGTCCGCCTGTGCGTGGATTAGATGTACACTGAATATTCTACACGATATCGTGCAGAGGAAATGGCCATTGCTATTCCACCGCAAAATCATCGCTTTTATTCCGGTCTTATCGGAAATATTTCAACACCGACTAAAATGTACTATTCAAATTAAACTCACACTGAGAAAATAAATTAATATGTCCCAACAATATCATATTCCCCAAATGTTTGCAAAATTTTCACATTTTTCGCATTCGCATTAGGAAATTGGTGATTTATTTAAATGATTTACTCATGAGATGGTCAAGTCTGAAGGTTGATTTTTTTTTTCTGGAAATTCTTGCATGTGTAAATTTTCAGCCGAAATTTTTTCAAGTGGAGATCGATCAGTCGACTCAATTGGGCTCGACCGCAATCCAGGGCCTCATCCCGGGTTTCTCCGAAGATCCGCCTGGTCGACCTTAGAAGCTCCAAACAAGAATGGGACGAGTCACAGAAAAGATAGGAACAAAGAACAACACCAAAGGTCGTTCAGCAGCAAAAAATTCCCAGTCTCGGTTGGTTTTCCGAAGGTATCGGTGTAACTACCAGTGGGTTAGCAGTGATAGTCTTTTCTCATCATCATCCAACCGTCTCCCCTCAATTATTCATCATCAAATCCCGATGATCATGTGTCCTGATAAATGATTAGCTGAGACTGCGTGTCTCGATTCCAGGGATCGGCATTAATCATCACTTTTGTCGTATTTTTTTGGAATGCAGAGAAAAAAATTATTTTATGTCAATCCCCATTAGGAAATGGTAGAAATATCGCCATGATATCCTCGAACGATTTCTCATCTTTTGAAAGTCAATATCTTACAATGAAAATTTCACTTTATTTTCGCAAACGAGTTATGAAAATTACGGGAATCATTTCGGAAATCAATTACATTTAGAAATCATCAGGCGACAAAAAATGGTAATTACAGTTGCAGTTCAATTAGCGGTTATTCAAGCGTTTCCGAAAAATAATTCATTATCCATTCGCACTGGCCGAGGATTTCTCGTAATGAGTCAAAACAATTAATGAATTTACGAGAATTTGACTCGTGCAATTATGAAATATTTTCACAATCGAGGAAATAATAATTTCCTACGAAGTGACAAGATTTTTATTGTTTCCAGGTCTGATCTGGTGATTATGCAAGTGTTAAAGGATTTTTCTCCGTTTCATTTGGATCTCCTCTGGCGAGTATTTCGCCATTACCCACTCGAAACTAGGAAAGAATCCTCCAATTATTTATTGCGGTGAAAAAAACAGAGGTGTCATTTATTGTATTGCCCGCTTATTTCATTGAATATCCTGAAGCGAGAAAATTCAACACCAATTCACTTCCATCATATAAACACCAGCTGAAGCGAGCGTGAATACGTGATCTCTTTACCCTTAATTTGGAAACGCTGGTTATTTAATCGATCAATTTTCAACCATGTAATTCACCTCTTGAATATCGCAACTCGGGAGATCTAAATTGCAGTGGCATATTCTCGCAGTTTACAGTTTTCTGCATGAAGGATACTCTATTTAACCATTACCACTACACCATTACCCTCAAATATATATTAGAAATTTATCACATTCTTCAAAAACGTCAAGCAATTTCATCATTGCGATCTGGGCAAGTTGAAAATTTTTTATCAATTATTTTCCAAACAATTCCTAATAATCAGGATAATTCAGGAAAATTGACGGAGAAAAAAATGAAATGAAATAAAAATGTCCTTCGGGCATTGGTATCGAAAATAAGAGTCCGGATGTTAGCACTCGTTGTGGCGATGAAACTCCGTGAAATTCCATGATTATCCGTCCGAAGGATGAGTATATGCACCTAGTTTCACGACTAGCTGAAGGCAGTGGGCGCTGATGTAAAACAAGAAGCACAACTACGTAGAATCTAAATATAACTTTGCCAATAGTATAGGCGCCTATCCCTTGGCTGCACACATCCACAATGTTGAAGTTGCCCTTCTTCGAGTTCCTCTTCTCTTTTACATTCTTCTCGGGCCCTTCCACACACCCCATACGACGACCTGGCGATCTTCTTGCCGCATACCGAGCGATCTTCTAACTTAGGGATCCCCAAGTCTTTTTCCCCATTTTTATTTAGCCTTTTGCCTCTTTTTTTACTCCTCAATCTTCACTACCTCCATCATCATTCCCGAGGAGATCAGAGACTTCGGTCAAAGGTGGCGAGAGCCTCTGGCTCATGTCCCTGCAAATGGCATGTGCACATTTTCCCGGAATATCATCAGGAAATAGAAATGTTCGTCACGGAAATGTGCCGGAAGAACAGCAAACGATGTTAAGCACTATTATGTGTGCGGAAATTGATAATTTGTGGGTACATTAACCCTCGGTGATGCTGTACAAGCGTTTAAACTTGAATTTATATCTCATTACTTGTAATCTAGTGCGTGTACCGATGGATATTTTTCACGTGCGGTGGAATTTTTGATTATCAATGAGACACGAGAGGGAACAGGAATTAATCTGATATGCGATAACGGCTGGTTATGCTCGTTGTGCCACAGATTCCGGCTGATTTCATACCGCATCACTCGCCAATCATTTTCACCAATCATTATAAATTAATCAATGTTTATTTGTTCGCCCCGACGTTGCGTTTTTTTTTGGTTTTAAAAAATGTTCACGCAGGAGGTGAATGATTTAGAGTGGATTTTTATTCAAGTCCCCCGGGATTTGGAGATGATGGAGGATGGTCTAAGGAGCGGATTTTACGATGGAATCGATTATCCACGGGCTCCATACGTGAGCTAGGTAATATACGCGTGTCGGAGCTAACGCCAAGGTCTTACTTTTATGCAGTACTACACCTTCTTGGAGCGAGTGGGCTCTGGGACACTAGGGGATTTAGCTACGGGTCGGTTTGCTACATGAGCTACGTCTCTCGGGGCATCATAAAGTCTGTCCCCAGTATTTATGGATCTACTTGTTGGGATATGTGCCAACGCTGGGCTTCGGGGGTGGCAAATAAAAACGGTTACTTGTCAAGTGTTCGTATTAAAAATTGACAATTTAATGGGCCAACTGATTGAGATCGTACATTTCAAGCCAATTACACCGTGAAAATTCAGGTATGCAATTTAACATTTACGCCAACTTTTTAATCCTCGGTTATTTATCGGTTTTTGCTGCATTATCATGTTTTATCGGCGTCGTTTATTTCGGAATGGTTGATTGGTGAATAAAAAGATTCATTAGCTCTGGTGGATAAAGAAAAAAAAAATAAAAGATATAAAATTATGGATAAAAGTGCCAATCGATTTAGATTCACATTAAAAAATTGCAATTGAATGCGGTAATTTCATTGGATATCTGGAGACACTCAGGGAAAATTGATAACAAAGAGACTATCAGTGGGAGTACAGTAGTTCACTTGCGATCTCGAGACTGTGGACTTTCTCTTGGAAAATCACAGACGAATAGAGCGAGAGTATCCAACACATCTCAGTTCATCAACATCGATGGCGGACCTCATTCGCTTTCCCGAGAATATCCTCAACAGACAGCGATTTCAGCGCGACTTCTCAGTGCCCTATGTAAAATTGAGGAGAACGAGATCGAGCGCTGTTGCTAAAGCCTTTCGCAAAACCCCAACGTGTGTTCGTTCTCAAGGACTTGTTTTGCTAGAAGCGGGTTCCTTCACTCGTTTTCTTAGCGATCGTAACACGGGTAGGACAAGTCTTTGCCGATTCGCCAGGGGGATCTCACCATCATCGATCATTTCTCATCAGTTGACTTCTTTTTCAACGCCATACTTCCACTTCTTGTCAACCCTAAAAATACTCATTGTCTATTCGTTTTTTTTTTCCTACTATTTTCCCATGAAACTTTTCCGCCACTTCTTCGCAATTTTTATCGACCTGCACTGCGATTTAAATATTGTCACTGGAATCGACAGAACATCGACTTTGATTCCATCTAAGGGGAGAAAGTTATGGAAATTTAAATTTCATTTGAGAGCATTTGTAACCGTTTCAATTCTTGGGGGCGAACATTCATTAAATTAATTTGAATAAATAAATTATTGGAAAAATTGAGGAAAATTCATATGATTCGGTGGTTAAAGTATTTTTTATCAAATATCTCGACTCTTACGAACTGAAAAATCGGAGAAAATGTCTGGGACTTAGGGCTGATCCCGGAGTTTTCAGGTTTTATCTATGAAAAGACCAGGAAATTATCGATGCATGAGGTATTATATATTATGTAAACCCACGGGCAGAGCCGATCCAGTTGTCTGTCAATTGATCATTGACTGGTTGAACGAGTCCGTTACATGAGAACATGATCAATTCTGCCGTCCATCCTCAAGATGTGACAGCTTCTGTCAGAATGACTCAACGGAGGACCCATCAAAAATCCCAGGAATTACCAACAACATGATTTTTCACTTTCTCAGTCTGAATATTTTAGGCTGGAAGCTCCAGAGGACTACTACATCAAATATTTTTCCCTCGAAGTGAAATTTTTTTCTTCAATCCATCATCAATCTTCTATTTTATTGTGAGTGTAGAAAAGTAATGGAAGGAGAAATGTGTTGAGTGGGTTGACGAATACCGAGGTGAACCCAAGATGAGAATGAAATGATAGATCTCTGGGGTCTGGAGATGGACAGAGGTGGTACCCCACGAGTATAGGGTGACAACTCTTGGGATGGTTCCAACGATCAGGAGCTTGATTGAGGATAAAAAAAAAAGGGCTAAGATAAAAAAAAAAGTAGATACGGAGGAGTGAAGAGTCTGGGAGTTGGAGGGACGAGGCGAGGCTGTGGTAAGCCAGGTCTTCTTGTTTCGTGCTCTCGGTTAGTTTCGTTGAGCCTCGGCAAGTGAGCCTCGACCTTGAACAGGCCCTGTATGGGCTATGCCACTGACACGGACCAAGGACGCGCCCGGCCAGCATCGCATGCACAACCACTACAACTGCAAGTGCCCAGGCTCATGTGCACAATATCCACGGGGTTGTGGATATTGTGGGATTGTATTGGTCCCGAAACCCGGTCGTAGAACTCGAGACGCCGCAGTGTGCACGCCTATGGGTGAATTTTTTTTTTTTTTATTTATTTTGTATTTATTTTTATTTTTTTGTTTTCCCCTCGTCGAGTCTTGGCTTCGGCGAGCACGCACACTCCAGGGGAAGAGTTTAGGCGGAGATTCATTTTTTTGAGAATTCTCAGTCCTACTCGGAAAAAATTACTCCTCGTCGGTTGAAAAAAAAAAATACTTGGGGTTTCAGGAAATATAGTGCATGCAACTGGACAGTTCGAGTACCTCAGTCCTTTTGTTTGGTTGTTGCCAATGACAGGAGTATTAAATATTGAGTATCGGATCGGTAGTTTACCTGAACTATTGGCAGAAAGTGGTTACGGTCCTTTTCACTGAACTTTTTTTACTTAATCCATGTTATCACTTCATCTCACAACGCAAAACGTATTGGAGACAAGTATTTTTCCAATTTTTCAATTCTCGTACTTTATTAGTACGCGTTACTATTGAGAAGGAGTACTATTTTTTTAATGGAGCCTAATAATATTGTTTAAGTAATCCAATAATCCAATTGCCAGTTGGTCAGGTTAATTGCGAGCTAGAAAAAGATTCTCACAAAAAATTTACCATCGCCCCGAGATTCGGAGAGATTCACGGAAAAATCGGTAGAGAGAATTAGCCTCGAGTCGTCGTACCGCTTCGCTACTGAATTAATTTCCCTGATTTTTTTATTTTACAAAGCGGTGTAAATCCTTCGATAATGAAGGCCTAGAGAGCGAAATGGGGAAAAGAAATTGATTTCTGTCCTTCCGACCTGAATAATTATTTTAGCACTGATTTTGGTGTGAGTGGTGCCCGAGGGATGAACCCTAAAACCGAATGACGAAGGCCGGATTCCTCACAATCGCGGACACTGACCGTCCGAAAAATTTCCGGCTACAGCCATTTGGGGGGGCAGGTAGACTGGTCCAAGTCAAAATAAAAATCCAAAACATCAGGGCAAAAGAAAAATCGAGTGGTGCAAGTGCCCCCAATTAATACACTGCAGACATGCATCAACGACCCACAGAGAACAAAAATTCATTTTTGTGAGAAAAATTTGACGAGGATTCTTCCTCGATATTTTGAAAAATCCAAATAAAAATTGTATTTTTCAGATAGATTGAATATCCAAAATGAACCCCATCAACCAAAAGGTGCAGTCAACTCTCCAGAGCTGCCAATGGCGTGGCATTTTCAGCATCCAACGACCGAATGAGAATTCAATCCCCAAAAAGAAGTCTGTGTTGATGAAATTCGAGCGGTGTCAACCGAGACATCAGTTAATTAATAATCCCACAGCATAACCACGCCTTCGGAATAATTCCCACCTCATTATTCTGTCGAGCGAGTCTTATTTGTTCCCTCACTGTCTCCTTCATCATCTTCTACCTCCAGAGTTCATCCAGACTCCATCAGAAAGGGTAGAGTATAATTCCGGATATATTTTTGATATTTTTTATCAATCAACAACATCAATTGCATTGTCGGATTCGCCGTTACCTGTTAATTAGCGACAAGCGATAGTCAACATGTTCTCGCCGTCACTATTAAAAATTTCAACAGCGAACTATGAAAGTACATTGACGGTGAGATTGTGGTACCCCCGGATCGTTAATCCCCTCGAATTAAAATGCATATATCATCAGACAAGGTGAATTTATTGAAGGTATACGGGGGATAATATCCCTTATTAGGTAGGTGGTATTCACCTATAAATAGAAAGAAAAATCCGGGGTATAAAGGATTAGATAAAAAAGCTGATGCTCCCCTCCTTCTGGAAGGTCACAGCTATTTTTGTTTAAAAAATTGAATGAATTAATGTAACGAATGAGTCAATCATTGGATGGGGCGTGTAGTCCATCAACGAGTTGCATTTCTCTGCAATTTAGAAAGTAATTAAGAAACTCAACTGCGGTCTAGGAGTTTTATATATCTGTGGACAGGGGATGGGGAAAATGGCATATGCCCAGTAGCAGCTCATACAGCACTTTAATAAAATTACTGAGCATTTTCCCCTTCTACTTCAACAACCAGAACTGCCATCCCACCTTCTCTGTTACTCTCCTCTTCCGTGAGAACATAAATCTCACGAGAAACGGTCGTTAACCATAAAATTGTGTGTGTACGTGCGGCCCACCGCTGAATCTCCGACAATTAATATGAACGTGGAAAAAAAAGGGAAAGGGATGGGCTCACTTCAGAAAAAAAAAATTGGATTACGGTATGAAAGCAAAACTTACGTTCGAGGGCTCGGTAATTTCGGATGGGGCCCTTGGCTCCTTGCTGATCCGATCCGCCTGGGACCTGCAATGCAAAAAACCAGATTTAAACATGGAAATTGCAATCTCCATGGAGAGCATTCACCGAGAAGGTGAAGAATTTTTTTGACTACCCGCACCGTCATTATATCGGGCTCCATCGACTCCACCAAATATTCCAAATATTCACCGTTGAAAAATATGATGAAAATGTTATGCACGAAAATATTCGGGGAAAATTACCGAATAATTTGAGGAGAAAAGAAAAAATTTTAATGTGTGGGTGGAAATTGCGACATTTTCCTCCGAAAAGTCGAGGGAAAATATTCGCCAAGAGTTATATCCGCACATTGAAATGGTCGATACCATGAGGTGTCCAGTGAAAGTGAACCCACCCATATCTCCATCGTGATCTCTTTAAAAAAAAAATCTACAACTTGGCTCCATACTAGCTCCCCACGAGAGTGTGAACAATGCGTAGGCACATTATTATATTATATCCCAGAAGTGATCCCGACACATGTCCAGCGGATATTTTTTCCTTCCCCGTCAGATACCTCTCACCCAGATTACATATTAAAATTGTGTAACTCGACTATTTCAACACCTCCCACGCCTCGAAAATCCGTCTAATAATTATCAACAAACCAGAGAATAATATTTATTATTTTCATGGAAAGTCACCCTAACAGAGGCCTGAACATTTTTGTCGAAATTCTTCGCACCAAATTCCGGAAATTCACCGCTCGAGGGCCTCCAACAATTTGCATATATATTTTAAAAAATACCCATTTTTTCCTGGGGGCAGTAAAATTACATTATTGAGTAAAATTGCGACAGTGTTGCCACGATTTTCACCGGATATCGTTATTTATTCAATAATGCATTCATTTTTCATTCGCAAAAAGACCAAGAAAATTTCCACTTCACTCTATCCCATCTCAATTTGAATATAAATTGACGCAATGAATTTATCACATCACACCGCACACTGAAAATTGTACATGAAATTTTTAACAATTACAAAGTGCCGAAGATTTCTGTAGAATTCCTGTCCACGGAATCAGAACAACCCCAAAATGTTTAAAAATTCCATCCTCCATTGAAAAAGATTTTTCACAACGAAAAAATAAACATTTCCAATTAAAAGTTGCGTAATTGAAAATCCCAATAATATTGTCCCTGAAATTCCAATAAATTTTCAACGCCGCAACTGATTATTCAGGATTAAAAAAAAAATGGTCAATTTAGTATTGAATATTGATGAAAGAGACACCCTTAGGGTCCTCAAGATAGGATGAAGAGTTCGTGGAAGTGATAGACTTTTATCTCATCTGGCAAAGACGTTGGGATTGAGTATCACGGGGGAACGAGAGGACAGCTGGCACTGCGGAAATGAGAATATTGAAAATTTTCAATCGCACCAAATGTACGTATACGTATCATTACGTGAAATGACGTGACATTCCGGTTTCTCTGGCTAACGACGCGGAAGGAACGTGGACTCGTCACTCTCTAGGTCGGGGTTAGCCGCGCCGGGAATTCTCCCGTATGTGCGTCGTGTGTCGATGACCCTGCGTGTGCACCAACCACATGACTCTATGTCCTCTAACTATACACTTCTACCCCCCTTCTCTTCCCTTTCCTCCTCCACCCTCCCCTACCGCCCCCTCCCTTGTTCACCCCTCGCCACCCCCTCCCGCCCATAATTTCCATGTACCTGAGGATTTACTTGATGACTCCTCGGTAAAAAACTTGAGGCTCGAAAAAACCTGTCGCGAGAATTTTCATGCGTTGATGAAAATTCAATGGTACTTTGTTTATTTATTTTTTATTTTAATAATCGACGTGAGGTCGATCTTTGGGAATTGTATGGAATTTTTAGGGAAAGGGATGGAAATTTATTTTGAAACTTGACAGGAAGAAATCCCCACAATTTTTCACTGACTGGACAAATGACGGATTCAATGACAACTTGATGAATGTGGGCTGTTGTAGTCAACGGAATATCCCGGTGCTGACTTTCTGCACTTCTTCATTCATATTCTCATTACATACTTGAAACGTGTTCATTCACTTTCTAGCATAAATAATGCACAACTGTTCGATTCCCCCGTGGAAGTGCGTCCTGCATGATGACAGGAAAATTTCCACCAGCAATTTCAATTAAATATTAAACAAGTCATTCATATTGTTATCATCGGAATAACCTATTAAGAATTATGAAATTAATGAGAATGAAAAAAATCAACGTTCACCAATTTTCATGGAGGTGGTGAATTATTTCCACGGTCTGTTCCGAAAAATTTCTCAATCATCGAGGAAAAATGACGGAATGACGGAAAAAATTACTTGTCTCCACAGCAATGAGTCATCAGACAAGCGATTAATTTTTAACGGAACAAATCGCAGAGATTACGTAGCGATTCGAACAATTCCAGTTCCACTCAAACTTTTTACTGAATTTTATTCCATTCGCGGATTATATTTCGAAACGCAATCTCCCCGTTTTTTATTCGTCGACTTTTATGGAATTTCTCTCTCTCGGTTTTATCGAGAACGCGACAAATAAAATTTGTCATTTTTATTTCTTATTTTTCGTCGATTTTTCTCTCAATGATATCCACCGGGGGAAAATTAAATGAATAATTCTAAATATGACACCGGAGATAATTCTTCACCATTTCATTAACAACTCCGGTTGTCATGGGGTTGTAAGAGCCCTTACACCCTTGAAGAGATTAGAACCCGTTGATGGTATAATTAATCACCAGCGATTATCATATTCCCATCGCATTTAGCAAATGCGTCTAGACATCGCGCCAACAAAGTAACCTGACGAGTACTCATCAACGCCATCAAGATACATCTCTAATCGTACGATTCTCTCCCAACAGACACGCCTCGATCATAAAATGCCACAACATCTGCATAAAATTGCATGAATTTTTATCACCAGTGTGAATTATCAGGGGCACTGGACTTATGGGGTCCATTCAACCTGACGACGAGCCTTTTAATATTATAATAATTATTAAAATTAATGATAAACCCGATCAATGATGAATTTTGGGAGGTGTTAAAATTATGAATTTTGGGAGGTGTTAGAATTATGAATTTTTGATGAATGGTGGATTGAAAGAATGATGCACATGTATGTCGAGGAAAATTAACCAATCGGCGAATTAGGATCTCTCTCTCGGTCGTTTCCAGTTAATTCCAATGGACTCGACTGGTGTTTGATTCAAGCCGAGATTATGCAAATCCCTGAAGGATATATAGCAGGCAGGGGAAGCCGATGTGAGCGTCGGTCGGAGTGTTCTCTCGGCGTTCCGGGGGTTCCGGGGGTTCCGCGGGTTCCGCGGGTTTCGCGTCGTGGACTAGCGGACAATGACGCAACCCGATCTCCTTGGCGCCATCATTGAAAACATCACCAAGGATCTGTGTTATGTGTACGCAAAGAAAGAATCACGGCAGAGAAATACCGAGGAAATATTGTCAAGTCTTATCCCCATAGTCCTTTTGTACCGTTCCTCCAATTGACATTGTTCGCCGAAGATAAGCCGATAAAAAAACGAGTACCTGGTGAATGTGAGGTGAGAGGGAAGAATCATTGGTACTCTGACCCGGGGTACCATTGTAATCTCACTTCACCTCGTTCTCAACCCGATATTCTTCATATTCACTGCCATCCTCTTGGTCCGATTTATATATTTTTCATTTCCCCATTCACCTGAATTTTTTTCAAAGACAGTGCGATGCCTCCAGTTCCGGGACCATAAAACTCCCTTTTAGAATTGAAACACAAAAAGCTCGTAAAGTGCGATTTGACTCGAGATTGTCGGATTTCGTTCGTTTTTATTCCTCGCAATCTGACGTTTAACCGATTATTTTTATTGCTCCAGCTCCCTAACGGTGAACCAGCGGAAAAAAAAAATAACGTGTGAAGAAGTACCATCGACGTAATTCGTGGGTTTAATGAACGATTTTTACGGATCGTGGGGATTCTCCATAGGGAATTGAAATTTCATGAATCCACACCGCGAAATTATTTATATCAATTGGACACACTTTATTAGCATCTTTATTTGCAATAAATTCAATTTGTTCCTTCCGATTGGAATAAATCTATGACGAATGGGTTTAGTCCGTCTTCTCGGAAAATTAAAAAAATGGCGTTTAAATTTGAATTTCCTTTGGGGGAGAGGATGGAAAATGCCAATTATCCCCATAATTTCGAATGAGATAAAGCATTCCCCGGAATAAACAGTTGGAAATAAATTCTCCGATGTTTGTCGTCCTTATCCAGACTCAGTATAATGCGATGTGTAAGGTATTTGTACATCAGAGTGCTTTGCAACGGTTCTCCAGCTCTTCCGAGAATAAGAGGCGCCAATTTCAAAGCCGAGAGGTGGCATGCAACCAGGCGCAAGGTCAACGCATCGTGAGATATCCGTTGCCCGTCAACGCATAATTATTCATCGAGTCGTTTCCGGTGCGTCTGAGCGTCGCCTGCACCGAGAAAAAGATCTATTTCAACCAACCATTGACATTCTTCACACAAGAAACTATCTTTTTCTCCAGTATTTCTCCAGTCCTGTGATTTCCACACTATCCAGTCCTTACCGCAAAAAATTTTTCATTATTTCAAATGTTAATGATCATTATTGCAATTACGATGAGTCATTCTAATTGTGAAATATTTCGAGCGATTTTGGTGGGGAAATTTCAGGTGAAAAATCACGAGAAATATCTGCTGGGAATGATAAAGGCAAGTGGAAAAAATGGAGAATATTAAAATGCAAATGTGTACTCCTCGCAATGAACTCCATGACGCATGGCGATCAAGGTGGAGGTCATGATGGGTATGTACAGCACAACACAGTTAATTCTTCATTTTTCTCCACGGACGTTCTCCACGCGAGACTGCCCTCAGAGAATATGTATGAAACTGTGTGGTGTATCTAATCCTATGGAGGGGAAACGAGCGTATATAAATTTTTTTTTTTTTCCTCTTTTGGTCGGTCTTGGTCTGACTTTGCGATG